TCTATCTCACTCTCTCACTATCTATCTCTCCCACACTCTCTACCTATCTCATTCTCTCTTCCCCTTTATCTAAATTTCCTCCCTTCTCTCAACTAACAAACTGGATGTAATTTCTGTCTTGTAAAGCAACATATGTATTTCGACACCGAAAAAAAATGTAAATTCATATTTTTACATATATTTTTTTTTTACATTGACACTGATGTATCTTTTTTTTCATAATTTTTCACTCCACGGTTATTGCTTGTGATAGCGAAACAACATTAATAATTCACACACACACACACACACACACACACACACACACACACACACACACACACACACACACACACACACACACAGACACACACAGAAGGTACATTGCGTCTCAGCTGAGATCAAGAGTCCCTTAGAGTGCGACACGCACAATATAATTTTTATTTAATTATTACTGTTATTTTATTTAAATTATCGCGTATAATAACAATACTATTTATATTTCACATTATTGCCTGTGGTTATATCTCTGAAGTATTTACAAAATTATAATTTTATGGCACCTTATTTATGTGTAATAGATCATAACAATTAATTATAATACACTATAACAATTATTAATATCATAATAAATTTTTTATTTTTTTTTTTACATATTCAATGTGGTACCCGGCAGTACCTGGATCTGTCTATCTATCTGTCTGTCTGTCATTCTGTCTCTGTCTCTCTCACTGAAGCAAAATCATTCGCTGGAGGGGAATAACCCCACTACGATAAACTTGAGCCGGAATTGGCATTGTTTTTTCTAGTTTTTCGTGTGAATTCAAGTTAATTCGCCTGAAGGCCCCAGAAGTTTCGTGATTATAGCGGAGATTCTGTTATTTGGCTTTGATATTCTAAAAGCTTTCGGCAGGGGGACGGGCTCGTTCTTCTCTTCAAGCTGACTTCCTTCCTTCCTTCGACATTCAGCCTTCTATCAGTGAAATTAATTCTTCTTTTACTTCTCTGAGCCGTGTTTGTTGTCCTAGAGGACTCAAGTTCGGCCCCCTGCATTAGTGGGAGTGCTCAGTCAACTTCTGCTCTCTCGTCTGATACAAATTTAATCCAGGATAAAAACATTCCAAACCCCCCCGGAAAGAGGAACTAACCCGTCAATCACCACCTAAGCTCCTCCCATCACAGGGGAACCAACCCTTCCACCACTACCTAAGCTCCACCCATCACAGGAAAACCAGCCCTTCCGCCACCACCTAAGCTCGTCCCACCACAGGGGTACCAACCCTTCCACCACTACCTAAACTCCTCCCACCACAGGGGTACCAACCCTTCCACCACTACCTAAGCTCCTCCCACCACAGTGGAACCAACCCTTCCACAACCACCTAAGCTCCTCCCACCACAGGGAAACCAACCCTTTCACCACTACCTAAGCTCCTCCCACCACAGGGAAACCAACCCTTCCACCACTACCTAAACTCCTCCCATCACAGAGGAAACAACCCTTCCGCCACCACCTAAGCTCCTCCCACCACAGTGGAACCAACCCTTCCGCCACCACCTAAGCTCCTCCCACCACAGATGAACCAACCCTTCCACCACCACCTAAGCTCCTCCCACCACAGGGGTACCAATCCTTCCACCACCACCTAAGCTCCTCCCACCACAGGGGAACCAACCCTTCCACCAGCACCTAAGCTCCTCCCACCACAGGGGAACCAACCCTTCCACCAGCACCTAAGCTCCTCCCACCACAGGGGAACCAACCCTTCCACCAGCACCTAAGCTCCTCCCACCACAGGGGAACCAACCCTTCCACTACTACCTAAGCTCCTCCCACCACAGGGGAACCAACCCTTCCACTACTACCTAAGCTCCTCCCACCACAGGGGAACCAACCCTTCCACCAACTCTCAACGTTTGCACGTCGCTCCGTTTCCTGCCTGTGCGTTTTCTTTTAATTAAATGCAGCTTGTTGTTAATTGTTATTTAATTGACTGTGCAATGGTAGGTCTTGCCTCCGGCCGGCTGCTGATATTTTAATGCTTTTGTTGCGTTGGGGGATGAGAGGGCTTGACCATATAGTTGTGTTAGTGTGTGAGAACTGACCTGATAATACTCTCGGTGGTGTTAGATTACACTAATTCCCTTAGTAATTCATCGCACCGACACACCCACCTCACTCTAAAGGATTGTTTCCTCACACCTTAGTGGTTCCTCTAATTGTCTTGCTTTGTTTGTCTAGTCTTTGGACGCTCCTATCGTTATTAAAGCTTGTGTGGTAGCAAATCACTTCAATTTTTATATTTTCTGTCGATGTATTTTGAGTTTGGCTCCATGCTGGTGCTGCATTCTCTACCGCTCGACGCAGTTATGTGGTATACTCACGAAGAAGGGATATCATCAGCGGTGTGTGTGTGTGCGTGTGAGGTTGGCTGACATCAGAACTGCCATTAGAAACTTGCGTAAAGAATCTTTCAAAACCATGAATACCAAAAATGTTAGACCAATCCTGGAGTATGCGGCTCCAGCATGGAAAAACCTACCTAGTCAAATATAGTTATGATAGAGCCCAATAGCTTAGGAACAGGAGTTGATTGACAGTTGAGAGGCATGACCAAAGTTCCGAAGCTCAACCCTCATAAGCACAATTAGGTGAGTACATATACACTCACACACACACACACACACACACACACACACACACACACCACACACACACACACACACACACACACACACACACACACACACACACACACACACACACAAGATACAGCCCACAGCAGCTGACTA